CCTTGGAGCTGGGGTAGGGGTGGCGCTTGGGATCCACTGGGCTGCAGCTTGTATCTTACCCCCTTCGTGAGGTGCTGGGTTCTCGCAGTGTAGATGTAGCCTGGCTGTTGTCCTGTATCTTCTGGTCTCTCTTTTAAGAATAGTTGTATTTGTTGTATTTTCAAAAATATAAATGGTTTTGGGAGGAGACTTCTGCTGCCCTACTCATGCTGCCATCTTGGCCCTAAGGATTGTAATTTTATCATTAATGTTATGCCTGTAACACATACCCTATTCTTTAGAGGATAATTATTGAATTCTTTTTCAGGAAGATTGGTTAAGTCTATCTCCCCAGGTTTCCTCTCAGGGAAGGATGTCTGTGTGATTCTGGTCTAGATCAAATTCTACTGCCTTTTCATGGTGATAGACATAGTTGTGGGTAGTTCTGAAGGCTGCCATCATATCTCCTTCCTATGTTTTCAGTGTTGATGAATACTGGTGTAACTTGTAAATGCAGTGGTTGAATTTATTTTGGACAGTAGGGTATTTTTTCTTCTTTGAGTAAATTTTGACTTCATTAACAAATGTAAATTTCTCCATGTCAGTTTTTCTGCCCACAAAAAAATTTAGTATCCCTGGGTTCATTCGAACAATTTCCAAGTCTGAAACCTGAAAAGATTTTTCAGTGTATTTTAGGTATGAAGATGGATAAGGTTTGTTCATGACTTTCTGGATTTATGAAAAGTTACAAGTCTCTATCAGCCTCTGATATAAAGGGTAAAGGTTTCATTTTCAAATTGTATAGTTAGTTCATGGAGGAAAAAGGATAAATTTTTAAGGCAATATACTATATAAGATGTCTGAGTGGGTGTTTCTCTTGTAGTTATAAAACATACTACAGAATAGAATGCAAACAAGTTGAGTGAGTGACTGTGTGGAAAAGTAGAGACATTCAGTTGTGGAGGGCAGGCTTTTGTTTGGAGTTCCTTTTGAGAGAAAATTTCTAAAATTTGTGTGAGAATTTCATGGAAATAAACTGGTGGCTTGTTTGGAGGGCTGGGGGCTGGCTTTCCATCTCTCCCTTCTCCTTTCTGTATTGACCAAGACCATGGAACTTGGAATGATTGACTTAAATAGTAGGAAAAAGAGCCTGCTTTCTGTTGAATCAGACGTATAAACTTGTGTATTTTTCTTTGGGATCTGTCTTGCTGTTGTGAACACACTGATAGTATCACTGCATGTCGCATTATTGATCACTGTGACTACCTGTCTCAGAAACTGTGACTTGAAGTGTCAGAGGCTCTGTGAACTCTTCTGCCTGAACAAGCCCTAATGAAACCTAGTGATGTGAATGTCGGGGGAATCTGAGGCTTGGAATTACATGCTGGGTTTATGGAGCAGTTCTTGACAGATGGATTGATTGAAGGGGGTGGTACTAGCCATTCCGAATGCCTGACACATTGGACTGTTGTTTGTAGAAAATACATTAAGGAGAGAAGATGATAGTTATTAGCTTTTTTTTCTTCCTCTCTTCATTCTTTCCAGCTTTTCCTTTTTCCATTTCATTTTTTTCTCCTTTTAACTTTCCTTAACTTGTTAGCATATGATAAATGGCCAGTTTGTGAGACTTAGCCTTTTCTCAAAACTTCAGGATAATATTCTAAGATAATCAGCTACATTTAAAAGTCCTCCTGTAATGTGAATAACATTGAAAATACCAAATTGTTTATTTTGTATAACCTTCATTAATGAAGCAGAAATCGTGGTTTCCTTTGTTTAAAATAGTAGAAGTATAGACTCACTTCCGTGCAGATGAGAGGATACTTCAGAACTTTGCTTAATACCACATAGCTAAGATTCATGAAATATTATAGCTGTATTTTCTTGCTGTCATTCAAAACTGGTACTGACCCAGAGGAGGGTCCTGACAAAGTTTATGTGACTGTTGTGTTTGCCAGAGCTGCAAGACTGAGCTAGAGCAAGACTGGATTGTGGGACTTAGAAAAGCCAGCTAATATGTAGATCAACTCTCCTTTATTAGCCAGTTCTTAAAAGAGTGTGCAGGGCTTCTGTACACCTAAGGAACAGAACTCACCTAACTTTAGATTGTTGGTTTTCAAAATGCAGTGATAGATATTTAAGTGCTTCCCCCAAACCTTGATTTTTTTAAAAATTTCATAGACATGCACAACTATGAGCTTGGTATTTTTCTGATCCTCTGGTGAGGACCACAAGGAGCACAGAGGCAATGCATTTCTGAGTGGCACTCTGAACTATACCAGAGTCTTATTTCAAAGGAAATTTTACATGAATTTTATATGATCTGACCTGTATCCAATCTGCACAGCACTGTGCTCTCTTTCTTCTTTATGTTTCTCCCCTCTTCTGAAGGACTAATGTAGTTTGTAAGTATTTTGCCCCTGGACAAACCCCTGCCCCGCTCCACAGGTTCCACAGTCTTTGTTTCAGGTCCTGAGGGAGGGACAGTTGTGAATGCCAAGTGGCTCACTCTGACTCTCACTTTCCTGATTCTGGTTCTGATTGGTTCTCACCTGGCTCTGCCATATGGCTGCGGACTACTGTATCCTGCATCCCTTTCTCATTCTTTCCTCCACTGTTACCTTCTATTGTACTAACACTGGGAACAGGTTCCAGGCTTTGTCTCTTGCTTCTAGTTTACCCCAGTTAGACAGTGAGTAGGATAGCACACTGTATTTCCAAAGGATGGCTGTAGAAGAGAAAAATACCCTTTCCTTTTGTGCCTCATATAATAATTATTTAGTTTCCTGTGCTGTTTTTGTTAAAAGTTATTTTTTGGCAGGTGTCACATTTCACAACTGTGTTGTATTATTTCTTCCTGGGTTCTCCCCTCCCCTGATTTGAGCTGGGGTTTTTGGTAAATGTTCTTGGAGTCCCTTTCTTTGGCTGCTGCTCCACTTTAGCCAGTTTGTTAATATGTTTGATTAATGCTGATTGTATGTTGGGGAGGAGGACTGAAAGCAATTCTGAATAATTATTCTTAATTGTTAAATGTCTAAATGTTCTTCTGGCAGTAACCAAGGAGTAAAATCTACATGTGATACTCAGAATTATCCATAGCACTGCCATAATACTTGTCCTTCACCTAAAACCCAATCAGTTCAATTATGCCTTTTATACTTGAGAAATAGGATTTTGAAGACTTGAAAGTTAATTTTTATAAGCATTTGATATTTTTATTAGTTTGCATTTTTATTGTGCTGCAGATGGTTTCTACAAAGACCTTGGACTCTGCATCCCCTTTTTTCCTTTTTAATGTATAACCAAGAAACAGTGCCACTGGGATGGTAGTACAGCATGGAGAATATAGTCAATGATTCTGTAACATCTTTCTATGTTGATAGATAATAACTGCACTAGAGGGGATGAGGATTTAATAATATGGGTAACTGTTAAACCACTGTGTTGTACATTTGAAGCCAATATAAGATTGTATATCAATGATACTTTAATTTTAAAAAAAGGAGAAAAAGAAGAAATGCTAGCAGAGTATAAAGTACAGCAGACCTCCCCCCAACAATTGGCCTTTAAGTGATATTTTCATTGCCTAAAAAGAATCAATAATAAAAATATTAAAAATTCTCTCAGGAATGTATATTGTATTGACTTATTGAAAGTTTTAAAAAATGCATATTATAAATATTTTAATGTTCAAATACATTAAACAAGATTTGGATTCTTTGAAGAATATGTACAATGAAGTTGTTTAGAATCATAAGCAGGAATTTGCAAATCAACTTACTCCTATGTTTACTCCTATGGTTTCACTTAACCCTTTATTTAAAGATCTCCATTCACTTCTTTTTCTCTATTTATCATCTATATCAGAAATAGCAAGTCTGAGCTGGTGAACTCACTTGAAAATGTATGAGGGGAGTGCTGCTTATACTTTCTTCTAGCCATTAATGTGGGGGTAGGTGGAGGGGATGAGAAGAGCCCAAGTCTGACTCAGATGGTTATTATATTATATATTCTCTAAGTCATTTGCTGCTGTTCAGTCCCATCACTTTACTTACACATCACATGATGAGAAATTACTTAGTCTCATAGTTTGAAGCTCAGAGTATAGTTTTATACTCGATACAGCAAAATAGGTCCTTATCCTCATGGAGTTTACATTTTGTTGACATGTATTATTATAGTAGTGAAAGTATCAAAATCACAGTTTTCTTGGATTTGAACAAGGTCTAGAAAATTCAAGAAACATAAATTTTAAATTTTCATCCCATACAGCCAAGTCCCTACTCTGCCTAAACAAATGTATGCATCTCTGCTGATCCTATCCCAGCAAAGAAGTCCTGCTCATGAGTTATACATACTTATATTTTAGAATGTTGTTTATTATTGACTATGTCTGAGGTCAAGGTTTCTTTGTTCAAAAATATGTTTAATGTTTGAAACTCAGATAGACATATGATGTTTATTCGATTAATGAAAATTAGTATGACTGGTATCTATGTGACCAGATGCAAAAAAAAAAAAATGACCAACAGTGTGCCAGTTCTGAGTACTTCACATCTGGTTGCTTGTTTGGTACTTATGAGAAACATAAGGATATTGTTTAACCACCTCATTTTACAGAACATGAAATTGAGGCACAGATAGATTAAGTAACTTGACCAATATCATATAGCCAGTAAGTAGCAAAACTGAAATGTGAATTGAGGCATTCTCTCTCCAGAGTCACATCTTCACTGCTGCGCTCTACCACCCTTCTGGCCTAGCATGCTAAGCTAATGACAGTCAAGAAATCTGAATGAACTCCTTTTTGTGCCCTCTATTAGTTTGTCTTCTCATCTGTGTGGCTCAGTTTCCCTTTATATATAAAGCACTCCTTATGCCATCAGTTTCTCTTCATATATCGAATCTGTAAATTTTAGATGTAACAAGTTGCAGATAAGCTAGTAACAGACTACATATTTTATACAGCTGGTAGAATAATATTCTGATTGATTTACTTTCTTTTTGTTTTCATTTGGTAGAAAAGAGTAGTTGAACAGCTACGGAAGAACCTGATAGTAAAGCAGGAACAACCGGACAAGTTCCAAATACAGCCATTGCCACAATCTGAAAACAAGCTGCACACGGCACAGCAGCTGCAGCCACAGCAGTACCACCACCACACCCAGCCGGCCACGCCCTCCCCTGGCCTGACCGCTTCCCAGGTACAGTGTGCACAGAGCCTTGGGTTTCATGCTAAAGATGGACTTCCTATTGGGCACATAGGACTGGGTCCAGTTTCACACTATACTGAGCCCAACTAGCACTAAACAGAAGTTATTTTGGCTACTTTTTAATACTATAAACTGGGATAAGAATCGCTTGAAATTTATTGACAGAGGGAAATAACATTACTGAAGTAGGAGCAAAAGTTAAATGATTTCACAGTTGTCCAAAGAAGAGGGAAAAGGTAGGTAGTGACAAAGAAAAATTGCTTTTCTCTATTAGAACAGAATTATAGTCTTATTTTGAAGTTCTGAAACTATTTATTTGCACTTGTTCTAAAAGTCTTTGTAACTCCACTTGTTCTAGAATTGTTTTCTGCAATTCTTAGCAGTTAGACATAGAAATATTCCAGGATCTTTGACCTTGAAACCAGATAGAAAGAGGCATCCAGAAGGGTGATGTATTCCATTATTCATAGAAACAAAAATACTCATTTCTAAGTCCATATTCATGAGAGTGTGGATCTGTTCTAATACACTGAAGGAAATTTGAAGCAGAAGCTACAGGTCAAAACAAGAACTAAGAAGTGGAAGCTTACTAATGTTCTAACTTGGTGTAGCTGTACAAAGACTTTTTACTGAAAAGGGCATTTAAACTAGCATATAATGTAAGGATAGTGAGGCAGTTAAGTTACAAAAAGGGCATATTTGGTTAATGACATTCAATTAGAAAATTATCCATGCTTGCTCTCCACACACCTATGTGTAATGTGGACATACCTTTTAAAATGGGACAATTGAACAGTGGTTCTTGGTGGTCACAGACCCCCCCCCTTTAAGGCTCTGTTGTAAGCTGTGGAACCCCCTCTGGGAAAAATACAAAATATACTCATTTTTACGCATGATTTCAAGGACTTTTGAATACTTTGAAACCTAAGCATGGACATCTCTTACCACCAACACCAAGTCTTCACTGTGTCTTTATATGTAGAGAAAAAGATGATACTTTACTTGGTTATTCACTATTTGTGGTTATTGGGCTGGTTAACCTGTAACATTTTGCAAATGAAGAATGCATTACTTACAAAAATACTAGAGATTCCTAAAGATAGTTAACATTTAGTAGAGGTTACTATATACTGGCACTGTCCTAAGTGCTTTACATGCATACATAATACTTACTCTAATCCTAATAAGGAGGGCATTATTATTATTATTATTATTATTATTATTATTATTATTACCACCTCTTTTTCAGAAAAGACACAGAGAGATTAACTAATTACCTAAAATCATTTATGGTGGAGCCAAGACTTGAACCCAGATAATCTGGCTGAAAAATCTGTCCATTTACTACTCTTCTATATTGCTGCACAATAAGAAAAAAAGAAATGCCAACATTATATAAAGTGACAAAGAAGGAAAAACAAGAATCCCTATTATAGACCAGATAGCGAGAGCAGCCTACATCAGTTTTACCCTAATCTCCACCCCAAAACAATTTGGAAATCAAGGATTCAAACTGACTTTTAAAACTCCCTGACCAGGACCTGCATTTCTTCTGAAAGATCGTTTATCAAATTACTTGTGTTGGAGTTTTAAACAGTTGGATTAGGTTGTTCTCTTTCCAAAGTACAACTTCATCAGAAAGTGTATTTAAATGGAAGGAGTATGGTAGAATTCATTTCTTTTCACTCTTTATACATGGAAACTTTCAGTTCAGGTAATTTACCATGTGGTATAAATCAGACAAAATACTTACCTGATATTTACAAAGCTATTCCCTTCCCTGGTAATCAGACTTCTGTGCTGCTTTGGCATGATGGCAGTGAGGAGCCTAGGGATTTCCCAAAACAGTCTTACGTGGCATCTGTCCATCTGGTAGCCCATTGATACATTAATTGATTTAGCTAAAACTTGTTTTATATTAATTTGTTTCATTTAGTGCAAATATTTAGTGTTAAAAGCCAAAAGATGCTGTAAGTATTTTGGCTTTTTTTTTTGTTTTACTGTAAACTGTCAATCAGTATTTATTAGGCACTCTCCATGTGCTAGATTCTATTATACAAAGAAATAGTAATTCATTTCACAACTGTGTTGTATTATTTCTTCCTGGGTTCTCCCCTCCCCTGATTTGAGCTGGGGTTTTTGGTAAATGTTCTTGGAGTCCCTTTCTTTGGCTGCTGCTCCACTTTAGCCAGTTTGTTAATATGTTTGATTAATGCTGATTGTATGTTGGGGAGGAGGACTGAAAGCAATTCTGAATAATTATTCTTAATTGTTAAATGTCTAAATGTTCTTCTGGCAGTAACCAAGGAGTAAAATCTACATGTGATACTCAGAATTATCCATAGCACTGCCATAATACTTGTCCTTCACCTAAAACCCAATCAGTTCAATTATGCCTTTTATACTTGAGAAATAGGATTTTGAAGACTTGAAAGTTAATTTTTATAAGCATTTGATATTTTTATTAGTTTGCATTTTTATTGTGCTGCAGATGGTTTCTACAAAGACCTTGGACTCTGCATCCCCTTTTTTCCTTTTTAATGTATAACCAAGAAACAGTGCCACTGGGATGGTAGTACAGCATGGAGAATATAGTCAATGATTCTGTAACATCTTTCTATGTTGATAGATAATAACTGCACTAGAGGGGATGAGGATTTAATAATATGGGTAACTGTTAAACCACTGTGTTGTACATTTGAAGCCAATATAAGATTGTATATCAATGATACTTTAATTTTAAAAAAAGGAGAAAAAGAAGAAATGCTAGCAGAGTATAAAGTACAGCAGACCTCCCCCCAACAATTGGCCTTTAAGTGATATTTTCATTGCCTAAAAAGAATCAATAATAAAAATATTAAAAATTCTCTCAGGAATGTATATTGTATTGACTTATTGAAAGTTTTAAAAAATGCATATTATAAATATTTTAATGTTCAAATACATTAAACAAGATTTGGATTCTTTGAAGAATATGTACAATGAAGTTGTTTAGAATCATAAGCAGGAATTTGCAAATCAACTTACTCCTATGTTTACTCCTATGGTTTCACTTAACCCTTTATTTAAAGATCTCCATTCACTTCTTTTTCTCTATTTATCATCTATATCAGAAATAGCAAGTCTGAGCTGGTGAACTCACTTGAAAATGTATGAGGGGAGTGCTGCTTATACTTTCTTCTAGCCATTAATGTGGGGGTAGGTGGAGGGGATGAGAAGAGCCCAAGTCTGACTCAGATGGTTATTATATTATATATTCTCTAAGTCATTTGCTGCTGTTCAGTCCCATCACTTTACTTACACATCACATGATGAGAAATTACTTAGTCTCATAGTTTGAAGCTCAGAGTATAGTTTTATACTCGATACAGCAAAATAGGTCCTTATCCTCATGGAGTTTACATTTTGTTGACATGTATTATTATAGTAGTGAAAGTATCAAAATCACAGTTTTCTTGGATTTGAACAAGGTCTAGAAAATTCAAGAAACATAAATTTTAAATTTTCATCCCATACAGCCAAGTCCCTACTCTGCCTAAACAAATGTATGCATCTCTGCTGATCCTATCCCAGCAAAGAAGTCCTGCTCATGAGTTATACATACTTATATTTTAGAATGTTGTTTATTATTGACTATGTCTGAGGTCAAGGTTTCTTTGTTCAAAAATATGTTTAATGTTTGAAACTCAGATAGACATATGATGTTTATTCGATTAATGAAAATTAGTATGACTGGTATCTATGTGACCAGATGCAAAAAAAAAAAAATGACCAACAGTGTGCCAGTTCTGAGTACTTCACATCTGGTTGCTTGTTTGGTACTTATGAGAAACATAAGGATATTGTTTAACCACCTCATTTTACAGAACATGAAATTGAGGCACAGATAGATTAAGTAACTTGACCAATATCATATAGCCAGTAAGTAGCAAAACTGAAATGTGAATTGAGGCATTCTCTCTCCAGAGTCACATCTTCACTGCTGCGCTCTACCACCCTTCTGGCCTAGCATGCTAAGCTAATGACAGTCAAGAAATCTGAATGAACTCCTTTTTGTGCCCTCTATTAGTTTGTCTTCTCATCTGTGTGGCTCAGTTTCCCTTTATATATAAAGCACTCCTTATGCCATCAGTTTCTCTTCATATATCGAATCTGTAAATTTTAGATGTAACAAGTTGCAGATAAGCTAGTAACAGACTACATATTTTATACAGCTGGTAGAATAATATTCTGATTGATTTACTTTCTTTTTGTTTTCATTTGGTAGAAAAGAGTAGTTGAACAGCTACGGAAGAACCTGATAGTAAAGCAGGAACAACCGGACAAGTTCCAAATACAGCCATTGCCACAATCTGAAAACAAGCTGCACACGGCACAGCAGCTGCAGCCACAGCAGTACCACCACCACACCCAGCCGGCCACGCCCTCCCCTGGCCTGACCGCTTCCCAGGTACAGTGTGCACAGAGCCTTGGGTTTCATGCTAAAGATGGACTTCCTATTGGGCACATAGGACTGGGTCCAGTTTCACACTATACTGAGCCCAACTAGCACTAAACAGAAGTTATTTTGGCTACTTTTTAATACTATAAACTGGGATAAGAATCGCTTGAAATTTATTGACAGAGGGAAATAACATTACTGAAGTAGGAGCAAAAGTTAAATGATTTCACAGTTGTCCAAAGAAGAGGGAAAAGGTAGGTAGTGACAAAGAAAAATTGCTTTTCTCTATTAGAACAGAATTATAGTCTTATTTTGAAGTTCTGAAACTATTTATTTGCACTTGTTCTAAAAGTCTTTGTAACTCCACTTGTTCTAGAATTGTTTTCTGCAATTCTTAGCAGTTAGACATAGAAATATTCCAGGATCTTTGACCTTGAAACCAGATAGAAAGAGGCATCCAGAAGGGTGATGTATTCCATTATTCATAGAAACAAAAATACTCATTTCTAAGTCCATATTCATGAGAGTGTGGATCTGTTCTAATACACTG